ATCGGACCAATCAGATTTATGAAAATCATCCAAAACTCCTCACCATATGCTTAAGCATTACAAGCCTATGGCAGTCTGACGCTCACGTGGATGCAGAGCTTGAAATATACTCTGGAAAAACAGATAAAATGACTAAATTATCCTTATTTTTCAACACTAAAATTATGATCATAGGCAAAAGAAAAGGATAGAGATTCAAGTGATGTAAGTTATATGCAGTAAAAACGTATAGATTTTTAGTACCAGCAGTATATAAATGTCAGTTTTTGTAAAACACCCCATTTTTTCGAGCGGTTCACTGGTTTGAGATGGTCGATTCCATTTTCTTGTGTGTACATGACTACGTATATGTGAGTGGTGAAGACTGTAAAGCAGGGTAGAGATGTCTTCTTTTGAGGATAAAAATAAAACTGTGAATGGTATTTAGATAATTATGTATGTTGTTTAGAATAAAAATTGAAAGTCCATATGAAAATGTTATGGCGTTTAATTTGTAGTTGTGGAACCCTCTAAATTACAAATGAACTGTTCCAAATCCGTTACGCGCTTGACTGATCACCCACAGTGTACCGTTAGCCCATGAGGAAGCTACCTTGAGGTCGAATTCAGGGAATAAAATTGCACTGCTAGCAAAATATTGTCGTAATGGTGGGCCATTCTCTGTATCTCAATCAGTGATGATACCAGGGAGGGCATTTCCCCTCCCCAACCCCGCCATTGTCAGATGCCACAACAAGGTCGTCGGACCAGGCATAATACTTTGCCCATCCAAATATCATTTGATTGCCAATCTCTATTATTGGGCCATAAAGCTCTTCCTGTACCGTACCAGGGATTTTTATTCAGAGACCCTGACTGAGGCTCCATTCGACCACTTGGTTCCAACCCCCTGTCGATCATGTTGGACCCCCTGTTGGCAAATTTCTTGATTTCACTGATCCCAACAAGTGTCATAAAGTCGTAAAGTGGTCCTTTATCTTTAAATGACATTTTTTCTTCTCTTTCCTTCGAATCTCCTTTTCAAAATATCTGTCAATACATCATGACTCTTGTGTCAGTTTATAAAGATATATTTCCCAAAAAAAAAAATAAAAAGAAAAAAAAATTACCCTGAAAAATAAAAGTTTGAACTGCTCATTTTTAAATAACAACATAAATTATCACTTTCAATAAGTCACAGTTTGAATGATCTATAGGCTTTTCACTACGAAAACCTTTAAATTTTCTCTCAGAAATTTAAGGGTATTTTATATTTGCAAGCTCATAAGAATGATATTAGTATAAGCTGGACACTCTCTTTGTCGTACAACTGTCAGCTGGCAAATCCAACTCCTTTCCATGTGAGCACTAGATGAAGTGACGCTGTCTGCTGATTGTTGGTGGCAGTCTGAACTGATCGTCATTAAAAATGATCCGTTGCAGACACGTCTTGGTGTTGAGTTTTCCATGAATCCTGAAGGCCTGTGACCGTTGTGCACAGTGAGGTTCCGGCTTTAAACGTCCCTTCACTTGTGAAATGTTTTACTTTTTTAATTTTCTGTTGAAAGCTATAATTTACTAAAATATTTTCAAAAATTATGGGAATAATAATAGTTTTAATTTTTAAGATTATGTTAATTTTAGGTTGCAGAATATTTCCATATTTCAATTTGTGAAATTTTCAATATTTTTATGTTTTTTAGTCCTTCCCACTGACCACAACCCAAGCCTCCATGGAACAGATTCATCTGAAGAAGGACTTTGAAGAACAGGAAAGTAGAAAACCAATGGTGACCGTTGACACATACCAACATGCTAATATTGACAGGTTAGCTTAAAGATGTTTTTTTTTTCTCTTTCCTGTGGTTAATCCCATTAATTTACATAATTTTTTCCCTTTTTGTTTTGTTTTACACTCATTTTTTTTCCATTTTATAATATACTGTACATCAATATACACATGTATTTGATGCAGATCTATGCCAAAATATGCATGATATGCACTCATGCATAGGCCTACTTCTCGTTTAAAATTAAAGTTTACATACTTCAATAAAAAGTCAGCCTCTTTATTATAAAATCACCAGCAGTTGAATACAGATTCTTACATTCTACCTTAAAGATATTCTCCTTTGGATAACTGAAAAAGTCAACAGTCATACTCATTTAAAAATATAATATTTAAATAAATGTATTTACATTTAATTTGCAGGGACACTGGATGTCCACAGAGAGGATTTGGTTCCGTTTTGCCAAGGCATCATGCTGATCATGACAAGCGTCACCTAGAGACAACCAACAGGGCAGATTACAAACCACCATTTCCATATAGTCCAGCCCCAGTAAGTTAAATGACAATAGGAAAAACTGTAGCTTGGTTGCTGAGATTCTTTCCGCTATGTCAAGGTTCGAGGTTCGATCTCCGTGCCATACCCCAAGCCTCATTATAGACGCAGTGGTGTAACGCCGGAGCTTAGGGCCTGTGGCTTCATAAGAGTGGGGGCCCTTGCAGGTTTAGGGTTTAGATTTAACTGCAGTTAGCTCGTCTTATTTTGTCGATCAACATTCAGAGCCTCAACAGGCTTCTGTAGCTCAGATTCCCTAGTGGCCCTATGGATCTGTCGGAGATCCTTTAGGGGTCCTATTGATCGGTGCCCTTGCAGACTGCCGCACGAAAGCGCACAGGTTTTATGCGTCTGCATAGCTGCATATTGCAGTTGAGTATTATTTTTGCTAATCGCTGTGTGGGGCGGTGTGCGCTGAACCATGACTTGCTTTCACTCCCATGGGATCTATTCAATCAAGCTTGTCTGTGAAGTGCAGCTTATAGCGTACCATCTTTTCAAAGGGACTTTGAAGTTGCTTGTCCCATGTACTACATGATCCATGTATATGTTAAAAAACATGTATCACTCTTTGAAAATGAGCAAAGGATTGGCCCCTGGTTTACTACTGAATTTACAAAATTCTGGTTTACTACTGAATTTACACTCAGGGGTGACACTGCTCTATGTCTACCATCTCTCTCCCTTCAGAAGTATAGATAAGTACCTTTTATTAGATTGTTGTAGCATTGAATGTATTGTCCTGTGTTCATTATATAAAGCTTGACTAGAGTGTAGAGGAGCTTGTGCTTTGGGCACTTTTTGCAGATTTATAGATCCAGTGACCTTCTGGCAATAACACCATTTCCAGCACCATGTATCCCTTTGCAACATGTGTAAAATAAATTCCTTTACATTATTACTGCAGCTTATGCAAAGACTGTTAACTAGTTAATTGTTGACTAGTTGAAGTCCTTGGTTTATGAGTCCATTAGACTGTATTACTTGACTACAGTGGCGTATCTAGCGAGGTATGCACGTTCCTTCAAAAATTACTTGCTTCCCCCAGTCTCGCCCCCCCCCAACAAAATGTCACCTG